ATCAACTTGCCATTGCGAATTGTGCTGCAAAATTGCTTTTGGAAGAAGTTTTCTTTTATTGTAAGAGTAAACATCAGGATTTTATCTTTTGGCTGCATACTTAGGTAGAAAATATAGCAACTGAAAGAATTCATTTTGTTATACACACAGCAACCTCAGCATTAAAGCTGCAATTTTGACTTTGCCAGTGCTGAAATATGTGAACATTATTGGGTATGTCCTTGAGCTCTGAAAATGGAGGTCTGGGATGAGAACAAGTGCAGCTCCTCTGGAGAATGTGGAAAGGCAGTCTGCAGAAAGGCATGTCTATATGTTGACCTGTCTGTTGTGAAAATAGGGCAGAAAGCCAATCATTCCCAATTCTGCAGACGTTCTGACAGCTAAAGTAGGCATTAACAATTTGCAACACATGGCATGGGGGATGAAAGTCTCTGAGCTGTACAACTGAGAGTTTCCTGACTGAAATGAAGTAGCAGTTGAAAGTAGCTCAGAGAAAACCTATTTTGTCATTCACCATGTAGGAACAAAATGGATAACATTACTGAAATCTGGGGAAAAAATAATGTCACAACTCAAAAATAGTAACAAGTTCTGGCTTCAAGTCTGACTACTTCTGAGGTTTTTTGGCCTTTATATGGGGATTTTCCTGACAAAGAAGGATCAAGTTTTAGTATACAGGTTTCTGCCAATATCTAATAATCTCCTGTCTCTTTGAATATATTTGGTATGTAAAAATAATTTTGTTGCTAATATATTGATTCAGAACTAATAATTTTGGATTTCGGTTGGCACAAGAGCTGGAAGAGTCTCATGGCATTATCCTGTCAGACACAGGTTTTGCTGGACATTCCTGCAGAGCCCCGTGCAGCCTCAGCCAGGCTAGTTGGGAAAAGGGTCGGGAGTAAAAGCAGGAAAATTTGCACAGCCAAATCTTTGGGTGGTGAGAATTGTTGTTTCTCTAAAGGACTTAAATTGGGCTCTACTGATTTACACCAGAACTCCTTTGCAAAGTTAAAAAGCTCTTGTTTTTCTTGCTTAGGCCTTCAGAGGGAGTAGAAGATTATTTGTGTGAACAATTCTGAACTAGAATAAGTTGAGATGGAGAAGTAGCAGATGAATGTTTTTGACAGTTGCTATAATATAATTTACATGCATTAAGATGTGGTCAGGTATATTTGGAGAGGCATCAAGTTTCTTGAAGATGAAAACCAGAGTCAAAACCATGGGAAAAAATACCATTACTTAGAAGAACTGAACAGCCAAGAGAAGAAAATACATAGTTGAATTTTGATTATTTTTCGATAATTCTGTGTAATTGTATAGCAGCAAAGCCAATTAAACAGGTTAAAAATGAAATTGTATGATAAATGTGAAAACAATTTTGACTTTAATTTTGGAGGCAGAAGCTGATACTATCTTCACCAGTGTGAATCTGTGAAAACGGTTTTCTCCACTGTTTACACTGCTGCCTTTTGATTTGATTTCAATTAATAAAAGACTTCTTAGACATATACTCTCTGTTGACATAGTCATTGCTAAGTGTTGAACATAATAGAGACCTAAACAATAATAGTTTCATTTTTATTTTTGTAGTTGTGGCTAATAATAATAATTAGTTGTGCTGTGGAAAGAAAAGATCCAGGAAGATATCAGATGATAATAAAGACCACATTGTACCTTGAGCACCTCCATTGATGTTAAAGTCTTGTCTTCGCTATCTCTGCACTAGCATTCCATTTTCACACACATTTAGATTATGGAGTTTCAATTAAAATAAAAAAAGAACTAAACCCTGGGCTCTGACACCAGTGAAAAGTGCTACTTTTTGTGAGGAAAATTTGTACCAATGGCTTTTTTTGTTGGGTCTCACTACTATCGGTGCTCTTCAGCTGAGAGCAATTTTATATCTCCTGCTGTTGTTGTTGTCATAGTATTTGTGTCACTTCAGTGTCTACAAGACTCCTTCTCTCTTTCCTTGGCATTGTCTGTCTGTGGGAATTGACGGTTGGGAGACGCAGGTCCTGGGCAGGCCTGCAACAGTGGGGATGGTTAATCAGGGGTTGGATGTCCCCCCATCCCGTTCCCCGTTAGTGACATGGAAGTAATGTGTGTACAAGAGCTCTACTGTGATCCTGCTCAGCCAGTGGAGAGAAATTGTAATAATTGGGTGGTGAGGCAGGAGCTGGCGCTAGGTGTGACGGCAGAGACAAAGGGAACAGGAAATCACCATACGGCGTCATATGCTCCTTCTCAACCTTAATTTTGATTGCAGCTGTCAGCGTGGCATTATGATTCTTGAATGTGCTTTTTTATTGAGCTCAGTGTGTGGGAGAGATTTTTTTTGAAACTGAAACAATACTGGAAAATGATTGGCATAAGGTTAGCTTTAAAGCCGTTGCAGTTCCTGAGATAGTTGCCTGAGAAGCAGTGATATTAACTTATTGACAAGGGGATTTCTGAATTACTTAAAATTTGCATTTTTCATCCATGTCTTGTTCTAACTCTTATGTGAGTTAGAAGTGCTAGGAGATACAGTTGAGAAGGCATATTCCTTAACTCTAGTTTCTTAAGTACTATAACAAGTGTTCTGTTTTTCTTTCATCTGTTTACTGTCCTTTAATACCACAGTTGTGTTCTTTTACAGTATTAAGGATGGCATACTTATACTGGTTTGAAATGTGTTAGGAGAAAGTGTTAAAATAGTGCTGCAGGAGAAAGAAAATATACTGAAGCTAACAAAAGATACACTGTTATCATGACCAGTGAGAACTGGGATCGCAGTGGTTTCTTATACTCTTTTACCAGAGACTTGTTTTCTAGAGGCACAAAAACTTAACTAATTGTTGACCCCTCTGTCTGCAGCCATATATGTTGCTCAGAATTGAGAGCGATGAATTTCTTGTCTGTATGCAGGTACTACAGATGAACTCTTCTCACTTTAATTTGAACAAAAATGTTCAGAGTAATTCTGTGTATTTTTCTTCAAATTATATGTTATTTATTGTGTATTCTTTAGCCTTTAATAGGGCTAGTATTGGCTTAGAGTTACAAAGTGAAACTGTAATGATTTTGGACACATAGTTCGTAAATTAGTATTTTTATGGGTGTACTAATGATTTTAATATATATGTATTTTAGCTCAACTTTTTTTGCTGCACATTCTTCTAAACTTGAATGTTATCTTAGTTTTTTCTCCTGCATGAATTTATAAAACAAACAGAAAGGTGTAGTGCTAAGCAACAGAGAAGTAAATTCAAACATTTGTATATATAAAAACTTTCATGTAAAAATAATTTTAATAACACTACACCAAAATAAGCATAGGTGCGTGGTGACTCATTTTTGTGTATTCACATAAGAACATGCTCGGAGCAGCCTTAGATTGAGATTTGTGAAATTATTTGAATCCATCTATTTACACAGCACACTTGAAAAGGTGAGATTTGCATTTGAAAAGGATGAATCAGAACTAAAACCAGATTAGACAGAGAGACAGATTCTTCCTTCTCCCAAGGGACTGGATTCATTTACTGTAGCCGTTAACATCTAACATGATTTCAGGTGCAGTGTTTCCTCAATAAACTTGAGTTACATTTTTGTTTAAGAAAAGGAGAAAGAAGGAGCAAACCAGGGGTGTCAGAGAGCTTTTTGTTTCTTAAAGCTTTCAAGCATACTTACATTGGTTCTAGATGGTTTATTATTTTCATTAATGAAAAATTAAGTTTGGGATGCAGTCCACCTAAATCTTGCCCAAAAGGGGACTTCAGTTCCTAAAATTTGTCTAAATCCCAGAGAGCAGCACAGTTTGAATACTTCCCAGGTATTTAAGTATCTCTTCTTTAAGTATCTCCTCGTTAGGCTGAAAATTTGATAAATATTAAAGTAATTTTTACTTCTGCATGCTCAGAACTGTCTTCTTTGGCAGAATGGACACATCTCCTATTTAGACTTCTTTTTTAGTTCTGGGCTTAAGTAAACAGGCAATGAACTCCACCTCAATATGGTGGGAAAATCTGAAGAATACAACCCCTTTTTTAATGGACCATTGGAATCGGAAATCCCCCTTCTGAGGCTGAGTCTAACAACCAGATACATGCCCTTCCATCTGATACTAGAGAGGATTTTTCTTTAGGTGGTTTCTTACAGGAAGATATTAGCAGGATAACCATATCTAGAACTTTTATCAATATTAATTTGAGAGTTTTGTGGGTTTTTTACTGCGCATGGCGTAAAAGCAGAAATTCTCTTCACTTATGTGATATTTAGTTACTAGATAATTACAGATAATTGCATGGGCAAGTTCTATGAACTAAAGTGTTACCGGAACATCTAAAATCTACAAATCGGGTAACAATTATGTTTGGAGTTTTATCATTATTTCAAGTATAATTACCATGAGATTGGTAGCGCATGTAATTAATGAGTAATCACTGGAATTTGCCTTCATAGTTGCACTTCCCCCTTCATGTAAAGTTCTTTGTCACAACATTTAAGTGTAAAGATAACATAAATTGACCTCCACGTGAGTTATAGTAAAACTCATAATACGTATTTCGACAGCAGTACTGGCTTCTTAATGTTCCAAAAGCGTAGTTTCCTGGAGAAAACAGAGAAGAGATGGTGTGCTGTGAATGGGGAAGAAGTGAAGCAACCTTTCAATAGATACCAGCTTGTGAGATAACTCTTCCACAGCTGTCCAAAGTAACCCTTTTTTATCTATTAAAGCTAGTTTGTAACTAGCTAAAATTCTGCTAAGAGTAAAGACTTTAAACATCTCCTGACATGTTCTACTGTCTTTCTGCCATTGTAAGGAAAGTTTGATTAACAAAATTTCATAGAGAAGAGAAGAATCTGTAGTTCACTCTTGGGTTCCAATTGAACAAAGCTTCTATTTTCTTTTCTTAAATATTGTTTATATAGGACACATTTTTGCCAAACTTTCAAATTATTAAATAGTGGGTTTGCTTCTTTGTTTGTTTGTTTGTTTTATTACTTACCAGGTTTTACCTGGCGAGATGATTATACACAGCATGTTATCGGTCAGGAACTCTCAACCATTCACAAAATCCACAACAGACACCCTGATATATTTGCATCTGAAGGATCTGACGCAGGAAGGTAAGTCTTCAGTGGTGTTTTTGCCTGGTGTGTTTTTGGGAGGGTTTGCAAATGGTGAGAAATAGATTGGCACTGAAGTTGAATTAAACACATCACCAAACCCACTATCTATATGGTAAAGGGAAACCAGTCATAGGACAGCACTGAAAACACCAATAGGAAAACAGCAGACAGAATGAATGAAAACCCTCAACCCCGTTTTCTGATTATCATTAAGTTAAGAAAATATGCCTTCTATTGTTAATTTAGGTGTCAGAATTCAAAACATTAGGTCTTCTATCCAGGTTATGCAGTGTCTAGTATCAGTTCAGTCAGCTTTACTTACAACTGTCTTTAAAAGGCAGACTTATACGGTAGCTCATCCACAGGAGACCTTTTATTCTGGATTAAACAACAAAAAAAAGTATTGAAGCAACTAATTATATTTTCAAACTCATATTCTTCTGAAACATAGCTGTAATTGATTCAAAGTCCATAGATTCTCAGCATTAGTTGCAAAATTTGTCCAGGAAGGAGAGATTCATGCAAGTTCCCATGACAGAAAGCAAAGTTGGGACATTTCTATCTATTCTTTGCATTATAGAAGCCATTTTCCTCATAGCTTGAAGATGTTGAGGGGTCACTTAGTGGTTGTTGGTGACAAGAGACACATTTATAATTCTGTTGAGTGATATGGATATAGGACCTGCAATTATATAATCTTCATATACAGCCACACTTATAAATATACTATTTTACCTGGTCTATTCTGTCCTACAGGCTTTCAAGTGAAACCCAACCACACAAACCTCAGAAGGAAATTTTTTAATGCATAAAATTTTAGTAACATTAAAAATGATAAATTTTGCTTTCTCCTACATGATTTCAGGAAATGTAATCTCAAAATTAGTGAAATTGAAAGAAAGTGCTTTTTGCTGGGAAACTTTCTTCATAGTGCGACACAGCTTGAGCTTCTGGCCTTGATGTGCAAGATACTGAACGTGGACTTTAGATCTTCATATGCCGCAGTATGTGGTTTGCATACACTGCAGAACCACTTCTTTTCTAGATTGCTCCTTTATGGAAATAAGAATGCTGTATAACTGATACTGCCCAGTGGCTTCAGCTGTGTTTGTTTCCGTTTGTTTTGATTTAATTCATAGACTTTGACCCTGTATTTCACATATTTGCTGATTCAAAAGCATTCCTTAAAGTCACAGCACCATACATTTCAGGAGTGCAGTAAGGTAGAAACTTAACTTCCAAAGAAGATACTGATCTATAGATTATCATAAAGGTGAAGACAACATGTGATTGAATCCTAAACATGTTTTCACTGCTTAGATACACAAAATGCCATTACTGTATGCATTAGTCTCTGTATACAGCATCAGAAATGATTTTGAATATCTTCTGGGGGATTTTTTTTTTTTAGAATGAGTGTATCAAAAACTTTTATTCATGAGAGTAAGATAAAATAGGCCAGATTTGCACAAGATCAAGACTGTATTCTGCAGTGTTCCAAATTCATAGTTATATAAAAATAAAATATATAAGAAATAATTTAGTTTTTAGACTGAGAACAGATGATCACTTTTAGGAGTTCCTGTTGTGATCAGGTTTGAGCTGTTTTGCATTTTTAACTAGAAATATACATTAAAAAACCCACAACATTTTCTGTATTGACACTTTAGGAACATCAGAATTTCAAATGTATTCCACTTATAGCAGTTCCTATTGTGGATAGATTTTCTGAAGTTACCAAGCTGTGCTTCTGAAAGCATTATCTTATGTCCCAACAGTTTAAAGCATTAATTGATTTTTCTGGTTGTCCATTTGCAATATATTCTGTAGGTCAGAGAACAGTAGGAACTTTTTCTCTGATGTTTTGTAGATTCTGAACAAGTTTGCTATATGCTCAGTATGCTCAATGCGCTTGCTAAAATCTTATCAGATAATAATTAAATAATTTTAAAAGCAACTTAGTGTAGGTATCTAATTATCAAAGAAACATTATGGCAGGAAGACCTTTTATTAAGGGTAACGTGTGTAATAAGACAATATGAAGTCATACTAATGAGTCATTAATCCCCACAGAACTAGTGAGAGCAAGAAAATAGACTCAGACACTTGAAAGGTAAATTGACTTAGGCTAAATTACTGCATATGAAATCTGATGAAACAGAAGACATGGATTTCGTCTTAAAAAAATGCAGAAACTGGGAGCTTGATTTCAAGATGAAAGTTCTTTCTTTGGTGGCTAACTGGAGTGTACGTGGCATTTCTTGGGCCCTTATTAAATTTCAAAAAAAACCCCACTCTTGAAAGAGGATCCAAGATAAAGGAAAAAAGTCCATTCTGCACACAGGGAATAAATGTCAGTTGTGTTCATTGGTGCAATTAGGCAAAACCACAAACGTTTCCAGCAAACTTCAATGTATGAAATGGCGTATAGCGTTATTTCTATAATAAAACCATCATTAAGTCAGTAATAAGATTCTCGCAGCATTTAAAAAGGAGAAACTTTATTCTAAAAAGTGTGGTATCTATTAATTGAGAACATTCTAGAAATATGTGAGGTGCAATGATTTAGATATTTCCACACAAAAGCTTCTAAAGCACTGTTTTTTGTAGGAAATAGATAATTATTTCTGTGGATAAATAGTAATATATGTTGTTGTCTTTATACCCTAAACTTCATTGTATGCAAAGTCCTTTTTCAGAACAAATTAAATACTTCCAAATAAATGTGCAACAAGAACTCAGCTGACAGTCATTTCTTCTGCTCACCAGGTGCTTTTATATATTTGTCTTTCATCCATTTCCCAATATCACTTTGTCAAATTTAAAAGAAATATTTTAATTCAGTGGCAATAATAGCTCATTTAACGCATTTTACTTTCTGTGTTAACAAGGTGAACAACTGTGATATACTGGTGAACTACAAAATTTTTTTAAAATCTTTCAGATGTATTCATAGGATTTTGTTAAAGTTGTCATCAAATGAAATGTAATTCTTTGTTAGACTTCTACATTTTAATTGTTTAAAAGTCTTTAGCGTAAAATTTTACATCTGATGTGGAATTTAAATACAATTTGAGTGTGATTACTGTCTCCATAAGAAAAATGAGAAATCTTAGATCCCAGATTTTGCTTCTGCCACCAGTGTGAGTGATTATATACTGTAAATAATGTCTTGAAAAGCTATCCTAAATACTGTCTTTTGTCTGTGCATTTAGTTCCCGTTAGCTCCAGTGGAAATCCTCGGGACAGAATTTGGTCTGATATTTCCATTTTCCCCTTTTCAAAGTTAGCAAAGAAGGGAGAAGATAGGTGTTGGAATTAATTGATGGATGAAAGACGAGTGTTTGAAACTGGGATACCCTCTATGATGAGAGCCTCTTTGGATTAGTTCATTTCTATTGAAGCAGAAAGCATACTGCCCAGCTCTTTCTAAAACTGCTGAACAGTTTTAGTCTGGCTTTAAGTTGAAAAGGAGGTGGATAATGTTGCCTGCATGTCCACCCTCCACCATAAGGCAGAATATAGAGCTCTGGAATGACAGAAAAATACAAACAGTGTGAGGAGGAGGCAAGACTTATGGTGAATTGTATCAAGATCACTATAGTGGTCTGTGCACTAAACCTTCATTTTCCTAGAGTTTGTGTTGCTGATGAGTAGCCAGTTGTTTTACACTGGGGAGAGGTGGAGGGGTTTTCTGGTACCTCAAAATGGGCAACCCTCTGAGCACTTTTGGTTGCAATGCCAATTGGTTAAATTATATTATTAATTACATTTATTGGTATTAAATTAGTCAGGACATGCATTTGATACAACTGTGAGCATGGAAGGAAGTCTGTTACTTTGTGCATAAAGTAATATAATTAAACCCAAGATTTGGACATAACGGCACTCTCTCAAGCTGCGCCCCTACATAAGCACCATAACGTGGGCTGGTAGAATAAGATTTTGCTTATAGTGATGCGGAGATGTTGCAAGTCAGATGATGCCTTGTCTCCCTGAGCTAGAAAGCTCTTCCACCTGAAATTGTTCTTCGCTGAAGAAGTGTGTGGGCATATGGGTAGAAAATGGAGACACCAAAAGGATGATTTCCCTCAAAACAATGTGACAGTCACAGGGAAGGAAGCAGACTGGAAACCCTCTCTCTGCTTTCTTACACAAGCAATGAAATAGTTACTGGTGTTGACATTTAAATTATCATCATCATTGACATGTTGTTGAGATAGATGAGGAGAGCCAGTAATAATTCAGATTCATTGCACACAGCACTCTGAATCCCATATAAACACTTCTACACTGCTGCTGTTTAGTCACATTTTTAGGTTTTCTTTGCAAACGTCACCAAGATCTGTCTAAACCAGTCAGGAAACACTGCTATTCTGTGAATCCCAAGCACATGAGAAGATCAGAAGAGATACTTGTTCCCTCTCTTTATTCCCTTTTTAAGCCTTTTGCTGGAGCTGACTTGCTCGGTTATTTCTGCACATCCAGTAGTGTCACTGTATTCTGTAAACTGGTGCAGCGCCAAATTAATGTTGAATCTCAACATCATCCAGCAATTTTTTTAAATCTTAGAACCATCTCTTATTTCTTTGGGGTGCAATTTAATCATGCATATTTCCTTTTTACAAATGTTTTCTTCTGAATATGGCTTTGCCTTGATGTAGGCATTTTATTTGATTTACTGTTGGATCGTTAACTTTGATTCATGCAATAAATTGTTAATAGTGCAACATTTTTTGACTGCTCTTGCTGAAACATTGAATTTTGTATACTTTTATGGTTGCTAAGCTTTTGAGTGACTTTTTTGTTATGTATGGAACTAACTTCAGTGGTTTGCAATGCCTTTTTCGTTGTGCACTTTGTATGTTGTACAGGCTGGTAACTTTCTTTTCCTTTTTGCTGTGCAGGAATTTGGGACAGAATGCAGATAGTGAAAGAAATTACGATCTGGAAAATGATGTAGACTTGGCCAAGTCTCTTCAGCAATATCTTAAATATCTTGGTATTCTCTCCCAGTCTGCAGCTACAAATTTGTATCCCAGGAAGATGGATGGTAAAGCTTCTGTCAAGGTAGTATTTTTAATGTGGTTCCTACATTCTGTGATTTTAGCTTTCTTCTCTGAATTCTTGTTTTTCAATTTTCCTTTCTGTCTCAAGAGCAGACAGTTTCTTACTGCCTCCTCCAATTGATTATTGTAACTGTGCTAACCTAGTTCTCTCCAAATGAGTTGAGTCAGCTTCGGCATTGTAAACGATAGAGCTCTCCTAATCTCCAGCATTTTACCTTAATTAGGGACAGATTGTATATGAGGAAGGAGGAAGAGCTGGATAAAGGTGGTAACATCTTCACTGGCTGATCTGAAACCCTTCTCACAGCATCTGAACTGCTCCTCTCCAAAAAGCTGGCTGAAATACCCTGTGAATTCTTGCTGGTGTTTATGGTGCTGAGTACAATTAATATAATCTTTGAGCAGATTTTGATAATGGATCTGATGAATTGTGCCTCGACATTTCCTGCTTCTTACTGGTTATAAAGGAAACCTATCATGACCAATTAAGGTTCATATGTATAGACTGTAAATATACAGATAGGAACATAAATCACAATCATTAGATCTTGAATATTGTCTATGTTAAACCACACAAATGCCTATTTGAGAACTAAAATAATTTTTTTCTTTCCTAGAGAAAATCTGTCTCGCTCTAAGATGGAGCTTGATAAATTTACAAAAATGATTGGATGAAGGAGTTGCATATGACAGGCCCTTATAGTCCTGTATCTTTTGCTGAAAAAATGTGTTTACCCAAAGCACTCTATTATTTTAAAGAAATAGGCTGCTATTACAGCGATCCTTTCAAAAAACTGGTATGTGCTATTTGCATGAACACAGTGTCAATGCAACAACCTTAGCTAAAAAATATACTGAAGTTTTAGGAAAAAAATTAGGCGAAAAAAATATAGTGTCAAAGCCAAAAAACTGCTAGTTTTTTCCAAGAACTAACTCAGAGACACATAACTACTGCAGCGTCTCTGCAACAGCAGCTCCTGACAACAGTATCTCTTGTATCAACTATTTAGTCATGGCGTAAGTGAAATGTTATTATTCTTGTCAGAAGCTGCAAGTTTCCAGTTTCACTGATCGGCATATATAACTCTTACGATTTATGATGTATGTCATTAGGTGTTCATCTGGGGTAAGAGAAACTTGCAGGCAGTGGCAAGGCAGCTTTGGGGATGGATAAGTGACCACCTTCGTGGTACTTTTCCTCCACACTCTACTCCTAGGTGCTGACTGCAGTGAGGATGCCCTGCTTTAAATCACTGGCTTTCCGAGACAAGAAAACTTGCTCAAGAAGTATTTCAGTGGGTCTGGTGCTGTCATGCAAGTTCATAAATAATCCATATGGCTGAGACCTTCTGTGGGGAAGCCTGCTGTGATAACACCACCCACCAACCTTATCGAGTGTTGCCATGGAGATGGGTACTCTGAAGCCTGGGGGAGTGGGATAAAGAGGAGAAAATCTGGAAATGAAGCACGTATAGGAGCAAACTGTACACTTCTGTTTACTAAGGAGCATTTTAAACCAACAGACATTAAGTCTTATGTGTTGCCTAGAATTTAAAATAAAAAAAAAAGGAAAATTATCTTAAAAATTAGTAATCAGTCATAAATTTTAAGTGATCCTGGAGATGTTTCCCTATCCTCTGCAAATCAAATGCAACTGCTGTTCTTTAAAAAGAAAGAAGAGGGACACTGTATTTGTACCTTGATTCATTGGGTCATTAATGGAATAACATTTAAACAAAAGAGAAACTACGATTTTTGCTACTCCAGGAACAAGAAAAAGATGTAAAATATAATGATTTGAAAAGAGTAGGAAGGAAAGTAACTGCAAGAGCTGAGGTTGATATGGTCATACCACTTGAAATTGAGAACGGCTATCTTATGCACTTTAATTGCATGCTTCAACAAAATCTTGGTACCTTATTTTTTATTTAATATATGGATAAATTATGAACCTACAGTAAATAATTGTACCAAGATCTTATCTTTGTAACTTTCATGCACTTTTCTGATTAAAAATAAGGGCAAGAGAGAGGTACTTTACCCTACTTAAAGTTAGAATTGCAGCTTTTGGGCCTTTGCCCTTCTTAAAAATAATTTTCTTTCAAGTATATATTTACCGCTGTCACTTCATTCTTGCTGTCAGGGAGTAGGAGATGTAACACTAATCTGGTTGCTTTGATACCTTACCTGCTATGAAGTATAGCTGAATTTGGCAGAAATTCAGTGCTTCTAGGCAGACTTCCTGAGTGAGTTCTGATTTGTTCCAAAACTGCTATCAGAGGACTCTGGCCAAGAGTAAAACAAAGAAAGAAAAAAGGCAAAGAGGCTTTAAAATATTTGTTATACTCCAGAAGTGTTATTCAGTATCTTAACATAAATATTTTTAATTAAACCATTTTATAAACTTTTAGTCTTTAGTTTTCCTACTATCTTCCACGTGTATTATCAGAATAAAACTACAGAGCTTCAACATTACCAGGTAGACAGCACACATGCAGTTATGCATAAAGTTGTAAAATAAGACACAGTGAAACCTAAACCAGGTAACTCTTTTCTTATTTCGCTTGTTCAAACAATTGTCAGCTTCAGGCTTGATACAACAGTGACAGAAATAACACTATTAAACTTAAATCATGTGATGGACCAAAATTCTTATAATGTCTACCGTGTATTGCAAGATCTTCTTTGAGTGATTTTTGAAGCACTTGAAGTTCATCACTAACTCAGACTTTTTTCTCAGTATTTAGATAGTATCTACTGCAGGCCGTAATCTAGCCAGTTGTTAATGACTGTGCCAGTGGATAAATAGCAGCAAATCAGAACATTTGGTGGGTCTGTTTCCTGAGGATTACAGTTGTAAAGAACATTTCACTTTAGTTCAGCTGAAAAGAGTTGTTCAGAAAATGGGCACTTGGTGGCATTTGTTACTTAAGCATTAGCTAGTGGGTTTTTGTGTTTCCTTTTTTTTTCCCCCACCGTGGGCTTAATGAAGGTTTTACCATTCACAAAACGCTGCGTTATCAGTCTTTGTGATTCCTTTCTACCAAACCTGGACTTAGTATGGAAAATAACATATAGCCAGGCATATACACATAATGAAAAAGCTTGGTTTATCTTATCTACTCAGGCAAGAAATGCAGAGGCTTCAAATCATATGTGAATTCCCCTGCTCTTCTCCCCTCCAGTTAGAATAAACCCCTCTCATAGAAAAAAACAAAAACAAAACCCTGAAAAAGACACAACACTGTTGGTATTCCTACAGAAACTGAGAATTAGTGTTTTGTTGGGTTTGAAGGGACAGCACATAGCTGATATTACTAAAGCTAGTCAGCTGTAAAAGGAGAGCTTGCTTGCTTTGCTGCTGCTGGCAGCCCTGCTGCTGAGCTCTGTGTGAGCGTTTGCGTAGCAGGGGCGTGTGGGCAGCCTTGAGGAAATCTTTAAAGGAGGTGGAAAAGGAAAGAAATAGCGGTGTCCACAGCGGCTGTTACAACAAAGCAAAAAAAGAGGCAGCAAAAATGATCAGTATGGAGACAAATACTCCCGTTGAATGCTTTTCACCAGCGATTAGCCAAGGCAGTGAAGAATGATCTTACATTACAGTTTTTTAAAAAGTCTAAATGCCTGCAATTCAGTAGTTACGGATTTCAATTATACTGCTCTCACTTGACCAAGAATAATTTTTTAGTCATCACAGAAAGAGAAAAGATTTGAAATGTGATCCAAATGTACTTAAAAGTCTGAAAATCAGGAAGAAAATAACAATAACTCACCTGGAACTCTGGAACTATGTTTTTTCCTTGAACTAGCTATTATTTTTAGTTGGAACTGCTTGCTTTTTTTCGTGAAGTAGCTACCATTTTTACATATTCTCTTGCCTTCTGGTAGCCTGACTTGTGAAGTTTTTAATGCCTTGGGCTGGCAAAAGTGCACCGCTTTGGCAACATAGCACTGCACTGGGCTCATTTTAGATGCAGTGGCTATAGCACACGGAGCATCCAGCCCCTCCGGGAAACCTTCTGGACAGGCTATGGGAATAAGGAAGTTCCCTGCTACACTTGTGCTAGCGCTGCATTTCTTGTTGCGGGTGTCTGTGGTTTATGGTTTAGGCTTCATGGCTAAAAGATTTGTTTAATTGCTCTTATTCCTTCCCCCTGACTTGGCCTCTGAGGTCTTCAGACATGGGTCCTACCTGCTGCTAAGGTCTTCCTCAGGCTGGTGTGCCATTCAGACCCTAGTATGTAGTATAGGGAGAAAGAGAAAATTATCTGAGAGTCTTCAGGGAGTTTCATCCATTTTCTGCTGTTTCTGTTTCTTTGTTTTTTAATTACTTACACTCACTTTCAAGGTAGACTTTATGTACAGAGATTGTGATTGCAGAAATCTCCGAGTCTTAGGTATTCTTATAAATTTTAAAGCAAAGAGTTTGGGAAAAACCAGAATCTTTACATCAAAGAAGTCACTAATAAAGTTAAAAAAGTCTTCGCAGACTCATGATGGGAAAAAGAAACAGATAGTGGCAGAGAGGTATGGCTGGTTGTTAGATCAGCAGTACAGTGGTGCTGAAAGGGGAGAAGGTGCAAATGAAAACTGTTGTGGCAGAATCAGTTTGCTGGAATCTAGAAGGGTGTGAAGGTTAGACGAGGCATTTGGTAAAGCTTGTATTTTAGTCCTCAGTACAAGAGGGAACCTTCCACCTATTTTCCCCTTTCAGGTGCGGGGAAGAGTACTCATATCTTTGCTGGGTTGAAAATCAATTGTTTGCGGCCTTGTAATTGATCTCCTGAAAGATCTAGGATGTGTAATACTTATTAAAAAGGATTATTATTTATTTTAGAAAATCTGAGTGCACAAGTGCTCAAAGATGTACTCTGAATTTATCTGCAAATAATAATTACTGTGATTAACCAGTAAGAAATTACGCAGTCATTGCTTATTTTAATCTCGAGCTTTAATTCAAAAAAGCGGGACACTTATTCATCTAGCACTGATTAAAATACAGTACTGAATGAAGATCATCAGAAGTTGATTTGATGGCTGACTGCTGAAAAGTCAAAAACCTTTCTGCAATATACACATTTAAACTCTGCTATGTAAGTGTAAAATTGAATATTTCATATATATATGGGATTATATATAAGTAAGAAAAATATAATTAACCCTGTGCATAAATACTTTCATAAAAATATCAGGAATAATTGACAAAGGAGTGTATCCCTGAAGCTACAGAATTACCCGTCTATTGACGTATCTATACAACAACCATTAGAGTAATATCTGAAAGTCTCACAGCATTGATGTATTTATTTACCTAATGACATTACAAAGTAGGGAATAACTAATACCCCTGCTTCACAGACAGATTAGATAACTTTCTGAGGTTGTGCAATAATTTTTGGTAGAGTGTAGATTAAAATTTAAGCCTCATGTCCCAGAGAAGTATTTCATATTTTGGATCATTCTCCCTTCCATGGCACTTTTCAGTAAAATAGAAACATTAAAGTCCTCTTACCAAAAAAAAAAAAAAAAAAATCCCCAAAATAAAACAATCTCAAAACCCAACAAACAAACAAACAAAATCTCATGAGCACTGGAATAGAATTCATTTGACCCAATACAGATGTTTGTATTGCTGCAAGCTGACCTAAAATCATTTTATGATCAGTGAAGAGAAAAAAGGAATTTCCAAGTTGTGATCCATCTATTCTAATTTAATTATATAAAACAAGACATTATAAATTCTATCCTCTTGGCCATCCTGCATGAATCTGGTATAAAAAGCAATTTTTTCTGGGAGGCCTGGTACCCATACATTTGAAGATCTAACAGAAACGTGGCTACAGAGCCTAGTAAAATTACAATCAGGTTGTCTGTGGTACAAATACACAGTCTGGTGATCTAATGTGACCTGTGATTTAATTTTTGAATTAATAATTTGGCAAGTGAGGATTCTAGTGCCAATATCATGTTTTTCAAGTCTTAGACCTAATACCTGCCTTTACCTACAATCTATCAGTTTATATAAGACGTAGTGACAGAATTTCCACGTCTAACATAGAAATCATAATTTCCTTTATCACATAGCTATCTTGTAAAGATTAATTTTTTGTACAATGATTTGAAGATACAAGTGCTGTAGAAATGATATTATAAATTATGTGTATCAAGTCTGGAGGCTTATTTAAAAGGACACTTAATTAATTTCTAGTAATTCCCAGATGAAACATAGATTGATAGTTTTAAAATCTCAAATACTGACTGGACGATAAGATTTTCTTCTTTTTCAGATCCTTCCCCACCCTTTCAAAGTCAACTGTTTTTTGCCAAATACCATGTGTTTGGATTTTTTGTTTCTGTAATTTCTGCTGCAAGCTTCCCATTTGTCTTGCAAATATTTACTCACTGTAGTTCACTACACTGGGCTCAGTAAATAGAAGATGATGGAGCTAGTACAAATTTTAAAGTGTATTCAATATTTATTTTTAGATCATACTCATCAAATGAGAGGGTAGAGTTCACAAAAATTTAAACTTATTTTATCTAAACTCTGTGTGAATGTGCTGGCGTATGCATTTCAGGACACTGCAACAATTTTTTTTTATGAGGGGTAAAAACCTCACCTTACCTCAAGCAGTTGTCCAGGAAATGGTTGGTTGCTTTCAATGGGGTTGTAAAGCTATGTTGTAGACATGGATCCTGCAGATCTCTATTCGCTTGCATTTCTTTGGCTAGATTCATACGTTAGAGATATAAATATATTGAATTGGTGCTAATGTGCTCAACGTTTGGCAGATTAAGATCTTCATGTTTCTATGTAAATCATCTTTAGATAATGAGTTAGCTCAATATACCAGCATATGCCTACAGAAAATGTGTTTAAACATAATTCACTGAAACCTTAAGTAACAGACTCATTGACATATGAGCAAACTGTTCTCAGACAAGGGAAGCTGATATACCCTGGTATATCTACCAGCACTGATCACCATGCTACACAATTTCTACCATCCGCTGGGATCTGACTGTCACTTTTTGGTTCCTATTGGTAATGTTAAGGAGCTTCTGAACATGGTAGCCTGGCAGAGGTAAAGCTGCCTCAGGTCTGTGTCTCTCCACGTCTAGCCAGTCGCCAGGTAGAGCAGGTACTGCCTATAGGCACCATGGGACCCATGGTCCGACTCCTGTTATTGGCACTTACATACACACCACAAACACAGAACAGAGCTTCTTACCCGGAAGAACAGTTAGAAATGGAGTTCATTGAGAAGACAGGACAGACTGGTGATCAGACACAAGGCATGGTCAGACAAGTATACTGGCTAGCCTGCTTACATGCTACCAATCCCTTTTACTCCCTTTTCCTGATGTTTTAGCACAGCTGTTCCCCAATCCACCTTGATCTTCCCTCTCTGGTCCTTTCTTTAAACATCCCGTAGTATGCCTTGTAGAATGACAAGATACTCTTCTTGGCATCCCATAAGGAGTCCCACACCCCTGCAGGCAGTAACCTCTTCAGTATGCAGGATGATCCAGAGAGCTTCTCCCATCGACCTGTCTGGTGGGTGACACTCCTGAACATTATGGCTGATGGCTCACTGTGATGGCCTGGGGAGGAGCCGGGGCAGGGGCCCCTGGGCATTGGTCAGGTTATTGGGGATCATCCACCCATCGTTTTTCACTGCAGACATTTCATCCTTTATTTGTGGAGACCAGCCTGGTTGTCATGTAACCTGATGTGTAAAACTAACATTGTTTGATTATGATAAGCTAATGATGACTGCCGAGGAAAGACCATCCAGCACTCCTTCTACACCGAAGGATCTTCGTTTTAACCCATAGAATGGAGATTTGTCAGGAACAGAAAGAACAAACAGCAGTTAGTTAGGAAGAGTGAAGCTAGTGAGTTCCTCAGCAGTAGAAGAAACAGAAACTAACAACAAAAATTGTTCATGCAAGAGAGCCTGTTGGAGAAGGTTGAAGGGTAGGCAAGCAGCTAAGATCATCCCAAAGGAGATCAAGAACAGCTGGGAACATTTGAGACTTAGAAGTGAATTTCTTAAATAGTAACTTACACATGAAAGAAGCCAATGCATTTATCCTCTCTTTTGTTTAGGAGGGTTGTTTTGTTTAAGAGTGGTAGAATATGCTGCTTACTATCAAATCTCTCTTAACTGAAATTACAGCAGTGTAGATTATTGAATGATATACAGTCAGAACCCAGAAAATCCTGTTACGCTGCAGTTTCACAACCAGAATTAGGAAGCAAGGTCATCACTAGTTTTGATCAAAGGAGACTCTGAGGACCCCTTTTGCTTGATCAAGCTTTTGACACTGCAAACTACAGGGTGTTAATTAACAATCTTTGCCATCTTTACTTCTCTGATGTAGTTCTTAAATGGTTTCAAAGCTGTTGTAATTCTCAGAAAGAAAATAGGAGATAGTTGCGGAAAATAATTAGTGAAATAGTAGGTCAGATGAGATGACTGTAATGGTGCCTGTTGCCTTAAGCCTGTGAATCTGTCAAAAGACCGTGGCCTGGTGCTATCCCATCGCTGCAGGAGGCCCTGGTTTGGCCTCTGCCAGTTTCTGGATTCTGAATTAGTCTTCCAAGTTCTTGGTTTTTATGCAGTGATTTCTTGCATGGTATTGTATCATTATCTATAGTAAGTGAAAAGGTCATTGTCGGCTGGTAGAAAAGGCTTTTGCTCTACTATTGCTCAGAAAATTGAATTCTTTCATTGGCTTTCCCTATTATTTTCAGACAAACCTAACATTGAATTTGGTGCAGGCTGTGTAATATCGTGTCTACAGCACAAGGTGGCTTGTAAAGCAAAGTTCCCCCCTTTCAGCTATCTTGAACCTAGCTGGAAGCCTGCAAAGATACCCTCCTGACAGTGCAGCACTGTATGGGAACAGCAGCTCACCAGCTGAAAGAATTAAGGCTTTGTTAGCATAGGACTGGCTACTTTAGCTGTGATGCTCTAAGGACACAGCTGTACTGCTTACTCAGCTCCATCCCAGGGATTTTGCACTGTAATCCACTCCATAACACCCATTTGGCCCTCATATTTCATTGTTGACTGGATTTCTGTCAAAGTGAAGGTAAATCAGGGTGTACAAATTCACAGCCCACACTTCGATCTAGCAATCAGGCAGTGCTACTTGTGCTCCTGCTTGGTTAGGGGCTCACAGGAGTACATGTATTTCCCATGTAGTGAGTTTACATGAGGCAGATGTGTGTGGGTCGCAAAGTATCTAGGCTGCTTCTGGTAGAAAACACTAAACTTCTTTCACTCCACACAGTGAGTTTAAGTGTGAGATCATTTAATTTTTGATAGCCTTTGGAAATTTTTATTTTATCCCACCATTGGTGAGGAAGGGCCTGGTTCCAGTGTTTGTTATGGTTTTATTTTCTAATTTCAGAGAGCATACTGCCTCTGTCTCAAATAGGCACAGTAAATTAAGTATTGTAGGTGGAATCATGGTCCAACCAAATTTAGGTGGTAGCAAACATGAATTAATATCTGAAAATGCATCAAGTAGAAAAAGCTAAATGAAATGGAGTGAGGAGGATTTCTTCTTTAAGCATTCCTAAGGGTTTGGGGTTTTTTTTGTTAGCTCTATATGCCTTCAAGATTTAGCAAATGCATCCAGAAGAAAGGAAGTATTTTGTCAGAAATTTAATTCCATTCTTTCTGCACTTGGGCATAACATTCAAATCAATCTACCCCTTAGCGGATAAACTGAACAGCGTTTATCTGTGCCTTGGATTGTATGTATCTAATCCTGCCTCTTTTCTTAATTCTTTTTTTTAAAGAAAATGTGTAGTCCATAGACTATTGCACAGTGCATCTGCACAGTGTAATTTAATGTGCCCTTCTGTGAACTTTCATGCAGAAAATGTCAGTTACTTACATACCTAAACCATACAAGACATTGCCTTAACAATTCCATCTTCAGAAAGGTTAGTGTGTGGGGTTTTTTGATAATGTGTGAATTATTGAGATAGCTTATTTGAAAGGTGGTGAAAGAGAGGAAAATCCTCTGCAGATAGAGAAATAAGATTATTTTTTTTAAACTGAGTTTTTAGCAATTCAAAGAACTTTTTAAAGATGTTGTATTAGTGACGTGAGATAATTGAACAGTATCTTACCTATTAAAAAAAATTGTTACTGATAGTAACAGGGACTTGTATTCTAATTCTATTCAATATAAACCATCTATATTGTAGCTAGAGTATTCTTTCTTAGTTCCTTACATTTCATTTCATGTTTGTCTTTTTCTTGCTATTACAGGCAGTACTTTATATAAGTCCAGTTTAATCAATGCAGAAACTAATTTTCTTATTAAAATTTTCCTGCTCCCTGTTTCCCTCTGCTTCTCCGTAATGTTAGCAGCTTCTCCAAAGGCGTCAGCAAGGGAATTTACAGATTCTTCTTTTCACTGTACCATGGATTAAGCCATTTAACTTTGAAGTAAGTCAAACTAGCAATGTTTGTGTTCAGGAGGTTAGATTGCAAAAACACTTCAAATAAGATTATCACAGTGCTCTGCAATTTTTATTAATAACTTAAGATGTAAATTGTCACTAGATTCTGAATTACATATAACAGATATTTTTCTCCTATCTTTTTCCATAAAGAATACGTTTTCTCCTGTGCCACTTACACAAATCCATAATTTAGGGTTGTAAGTATCTATGCTGCAATTTTACTTGGATTTCACCTTGCATGGTTCAGTATGGCAAATATACTTTTGGTGCTGTGTTTTGTTTGAGATCAGGGTGGCAAGGAAGGGGATTTTTTCTCCTCCAAGTTGAGGATTGCCATACAGCTATGAGACTCCTTTAATTAAGTCAGACTAAGCTACATCAAATGGGCTGCTATCTGAGTGCACGGTGAAGACAGCTGAGCTGTCGGTGCTGTACTTTAATTAGAACTTTTAATATTTCATCCCTTACTACCCAAAGGGTGACCTGTCAAGCTGCTGAGAGGCTACCCCTTCTTGATAGAGGTGAAGCTCTGAGCCCAAGAGTGGCGCTTACTTATATCCAATTTATGTACAATCACTTGGTGTTTTTGTTGTGTTTTCTTTCTTGATGTGCTGCTTGTCTGCGAGAGCAGGAAGTCACAGATCTGTTAATGTTAAAGGATATTGGGACTTGTTAAATAGCTCATCAAAAGCCAGCCCTCATCTCCTGACCCTCATCTTTCACAAGTGGTTTGAGAGTCTCTAGCAGTTTTGCTCCCCCTAACATTTGATTTATTAGCAAAGCTTTAGAGGCAAAAGAGGCAACTGGATATAGGATAGAGATCCAAATTAGGGTATAGTGACACAAGCTGGATTGACTTAATGTCTTTCTGTGGCTGAACAGGGCATGTCCTCTCCCCTTCGTCATGTTTCTCCCTTTCCCAGCTGCCTGTTACTTCCTTCCCTTGTAGCCAGAAGGTCCTCCAGAAGGTGGCAAGGTAGAGAGTACTGGGTGGGAAAGGCAAACAGCAGCTTGTGTGAATTCTCTGTAAACTAGTTTGTACATCTGGAACTGCTTTGTGTCATCCTCTGCAGCTCCTTCTAGGGAGCGAGTATCATTAGAAAGTTAATTATCCCATGCAAAGACCCATTGTAATTGAGAGATAAATATGTACGACCAGTAGCTTTTCACGTCTAGGATTTGCTATTAAGTACGTAAACAGCATTTACAGTGTATTTTGACAACTGGCTCCCCTCTTGGTGTTGTTCAGAGCAGTGCATACCCTGCAGCTGATGCACTGAACCGGAGCTACATTGCTGTTGTTTGGTACAGTTCCCAGGGGACGTTAAAATATTTCATACACAAAGCTGCTTGATCTCTAGCTCTGTATTCTGTGACACTGTCTTACTCTAGCCCAATTTCTTGGCATTAACAAAACATGTTTCTATGTTAAAGACCACCTGCAGAAGTCAAAAGCCTTGCATTGGTGGATCACAAGCCAAAGTAGCCAAAGTGCCTTTTTCTCTGTAATAAAGTTGCATAAGCCATAAATCTACAAATCATGATATGGAATCATGGAATGAACCTCTTCAGTCTTTTCACAGGGGGATAACCCTCTTGGAAAGCAAGGGTTATGAATATATATTATCAAATTGACTGACTATTATCAGAAGAAATAAAATTGTTCAGATGGAGAGCAAAATTATTGTCCATAAATAAAGAACTAGATAAAATCTAAAAGTTTTTATTCATCTCTGGAATAGCTTATCAGCCTTACTTACTTTACCTTTATGAAGTCCATTAGGAAATGTATAAATAATATTTTTTCTGGCTGAATTCTACTAATTGCTGTCCTCTTGGTTGGATAGTCTCTGCACTCTGTAGGTATTTTGCAGCTTTTTCTGTCCTAAACCATTATGCTCTCCGTGCACAGGGACATCAGTGATCCACTATAATTTATAGCAGTGACAGCTGAAATAATCCTTGTCCTAAGTTTCCCACATTGTAGTGTAGTTTGTATGATAGTTTAGCCAAGAAACCACAGCTGAGAAGCAGGACCCATTCTTCAACACGCATACAGTACAGGATGCAACTTCAGCAAAGTGTCCTGAAGAAATTATAAACAAAGGATCTAATTGGAATAGTTGTGAATATAAGTAAACCTCTCAGTTCAAATTTGTATTTAGCAGGGAGTGAAGGAAAATTATTTTTGAAATTAATTAGGAGGGTGGAACCGCTTTTTAAAAACAAAAAGTCCTGCCTTCAGGTTGTGGTCATAACAAAAATGTCTCTACGATTAAATTATAGTAAATGTAATACTAATTAATTAGGAAGGTGGATAAAGGCCTAAAGTACTTAATGGGAATTTAAAATTTGTCCTCAAAACTAAATTTCATCATCATAAAGAAAAAAAAAAGGTCAATGAAAACAATATATGTTGTCTTGCAATGCTAGATTCCTATCTGGTGCATCCTTGAAAATCTGAAACTGAAAATAGAAAACTCTAGTGCCAGCCTACCCTTCCACTTTTTCAACAAAAATGTGGTTTTACCTTGATTGAAACATTTTGTACATTCTTCTTTAATTTGCTGAGTTGTTTTACCTTAAAATAATAAACGCATTAAAAACCAATTTAAAAGCTATTTTTACGTTTCTTTATACTGTCAGAGCACATATTGATTAGAGATTTAATTTAGTGGAAAAAAAAGAGCTTTAATTTAAAATAGAACAAAGTATTTCATACATACAAAAGAATTGTTTCGCTTTCTTGGTGTTCTTTAAAAACTGAAATTTTTTGTTTGACTTACTAGTTTTTGGTAAGTAACCTGAAAAAAAGTTATTCTCACAAGTCTAGTAAAACCTGAAGGGAAAGTGGCTTTACTAAATTTTCTTTGTCCGACTGAATACAAATAGTGCATATATAGTTAATATCAAGATTGAGTTGTATCATTCTCTCTCTAATCGCTTCCTCTCTCTTTTTAATAGGTTAATAAACTGTTTTACAAAATTTGTACCAAAGTGATAGTGCCTCTTTAAAGCAAACTTACCAGTTTGAGGTTTGCAATCTACATACACATTATAGGTTCTAATGATTGTTTTCCTGGTTGGTAACACACTAGGGGTTATGCCTGTGATTCCTGCATAACAATAATCATTACAAAGCAATAATGACCCAGTCCTTTTCTCCACCTTCTACCCTCTCTAGAGCTACATCTATAATGATCCTATCAGGTACTACCTGATGCAAAAACCCAAAGAAAGAGCGCCTCCTTTGGCCCATACATCAACATCCCATCAGCAGCGTGCTGACAATCTCCGTGAGAGGACCTTGAACCAGCCTCAGCCAGACAAGTTCTCACCGGAGTCAGAAATGAGACTCGACCAAAAAACTCTGATGGCTGCACTGCATACGTACATCACTCAGAACTTGTCAGCACAAAGCAGTGATAAAAGCTCTCACAGCAGGACTAAAGGGTCTCACGTTTATGCTGATAGATTCTACCCTTCCCAAGTCAGTCCTTTTGATGGAACTTCTGCCAAAGGAAAAGAGGAAGATATTAAAATGAAGAAGCTGTTCCAGCCAAGACCTGCGTCTGGAGTGCTGGGGCCGACCCCTGAGATTTTGAATCATAAGTCTGCTTCCCAGGATGATCCAAAGGACACTCTGAGTATCGTGGATGGTAAAGTGTATTTTTACTTATTTTAACTTATCTGAAGTTTCCCTCATGTTCACTGAGCATTTTTGAGAAGAAAAAAAAAATATTAGACATTCTGATATATCTCCTACTATTGACGTATTTATATCTACCATAATACTCACAGTAATAATGTTCACCATTCTAATTTTCCCTGCAAACATCTACCCACATTCTTCAGCCCACCTTCCATATGCATGGAGAAATATATGGCACTCAGTAAGACGTAGCATTTATGTAACTTGTTATATTTTCAAAGCATTTTAGAAACAACACATAATTATGGGTATATCTTTGTTATCCAATCTGCTTTTATGCATGCATCCCACACTATATATAGGTAATATAGAAATGCCTGGTTTTGTTCCATTTCTCTGTATTTAACTAGAAATTCAAGGACCATGGGTAAAATTCAAAGTTAGACACAGAAATTGTCACTGAGAGAAATTCTGGTGCAGAACACAGAGAGGGGAGGAGTCTGTCAATTATGTGGATAGGTGGACACAGAATAATACGACAAGGTGGGGTTGCATCTAGTTTTGGCTGGACATTCTATAACAAACAACCCATTTGCTGGATTTTCATCAATTTTTTGCCAGCACTGTTTAGCAATGACCAATCCTGATTTCTTTTGTACATGATGGTTTGACAAATATTTAAATGAAGATGGAGTGTAACATCTCACGGGATGCTGTAATACACTTTAAGTGCTGCTTTGTAAGGCAAGATGGGTCTTCACATCATGGCTGGGGATCAGGTAGAGTTTAGAAAATAACTCTTATTCACTTTATTGTTTCTTTAAACTAATCTAACTATTGATGTTATTCCAGTGGTTCAGAATGCCTCAAAAATGAAAGAATTGATCCTCAACCATCACCAAGCAGTTACATCTGTTACGCTGTAGTCACCACTATCCCAATGGGTTTAGGTGATACGTAAGAGGGTTCTTTTGAATCCCTTCTGTAGTTATTATCATCCATAAAGTTTAATGTTCTTTGATTTGTTTGGGGTTTTTTTTGTTTGTTTTTTAAACACACAGAAATGTCAAAGTTGCAGCAGAGGAAAGATAATGCTTGCAATCTAAAGGATGCTCAGAAGGGAAAGCATTCTTGGTATGGTGCCCAGAGATAATAGGTTTCAAGGAATGAACTATAATGTAAAATCAAACCCAGGTGGCACTGTAAGTCTCTTGCACAGGTTAGACAATTTTGTTGCTAGACTCAAAACAAACTAGGAACATGCTGGTTTCATTATCCTCCAGCTGTTCCACTTCACCTTCCTGGTAGGAGCCAACCGGGAAAAAAATGCTTAACGCTTAGAGGGAATAACATGTTTTACAATTCATTGGGTTGTACTGCTTTGACTTCACATACATAATGTGCCCTGTAGGAACTTCTTCCATTGCATTAGCTTTTAAATGTTGCATAGACATAAAATTATGAATCGTTTAAGTAGGAAATAATATAGTTTCCTTTGTATTTTTGTGCCACTTAATAGTCTCATAAGGAGGTGGTGAGGACAGACTACAGTGTATTCGTTGTTTAAAGTGATGATGGTTTGGATTCAGATTTGCCAGGCTGACCACACCTCTCTTTCTGCTTTTAACCTTTCTCCAGTCTCTCTGGTACTTCAGGATTTTTGTGTGCTTGTGGGTTGTTTCTCTCTTGCGCTCTGTAAACCACAGAACTGCTCCAAGACTGGAAAGCATGGGGTGCAGCCACATGAGCTCAGTTCTCTGCTGCATTTGATACAGGATTAGACAAAGGAACTTGACTGGGAGAACGATACAGAAGGTACTGAGCAAATTAACACTGAGAATTGCTGTAAAACAGTGGCAGGTAAATTAGCTAACAAGGCACCCTGAGAGTGAAATACAAGAAAAGGAAGTGTGGAGCTATTTTTCTATCGGATTTGGAAACTTGGCTCCAGGAGTAGTGTGATGTGCGTGGGTACTGCCTTTGTAGTCACAGTGCAAAGTGGAATTGTCAATCTGTCTTCTGCGCCAGCCATATTTAGAATTTGGCTCAGTTTTAAGTGATTTGTTCTAGTCTACTCATTTTTGGTGTATTAAATATTACAGAAAACACCTCTCTATTGCTTGGGAAAGGTCACAAAATTAGTAATTCAGTTGTCTTTTTTTCAAAAAATAACAAACTTCCCTGTTTATAGAGCAAAGATATTTTTCTATGTCCTCTGTCTTGCAAAGCTATGGTCACCAATCCGTAGGGCACTCAGCTGCTGAGGATGGCTAATATATGTGGTCAGGAGGGTGATGAGGTAGAAGACGACAGACCACCCTGTGGGACTGCTAGCAAAGTTAGTGCTGCCATACGATTTGGTTATCAGGCAAGCTGGCTTTGGCAGTTCTGTCAATGGAGTATGGAGCATGATTTATATGCTGTAAAAAAAATACTGTTTTCTCTTGCTAAATTGCTACGTTACTTACTATGGAATTCTATTGGTGAAGCTGATACTAAAAATTGCATCATCTAAGATACATGTGCCTTTCCAGTCATCATGGTTCCAATGCAACTATGAAGGGCGACTTGCCTTCTTAGTTTTGGAAGCTGGAGCTGAGGGAGAAATACGGTTTTGCAGTACAAACCCTGTGAAACATAGAATCATAGAATCGTTATGGTTCTAAGGGACCCCAAAGTTCATCAAGTCCAACCTTCTGCCCAACGTCACCATGCCCACTAAACCCACTAAACCATGTCTCGAAGTGCCACATCTAAATGTTTTTTGAACCCCTCCAGGGATGGTGACTCCACCACCTCCCTGGGGAGCCCATTCCAATGCCTAATGACTCTATCAGTGAAGAAGTTCTTTCTAAGGTCCAGCCTGAACCTCCCCTGGCACGACTTGAGACCGTTTCCTCTTGTCCTATCGCTAGTTACCAGGGAGAAGAGACCGACCCCCACCTTGCTACACCCTCCTTTCAGGTAGTTGTAGAGAGCGATAAGGTCTCCCCTCAGCCTCCTCTTCTCCAAGCTGAACAACCCCAGCTCCCTCAGCTGCTCCCCATCAGACTTGTTCTCCAGACCCTTCACCAGCTTTGTTGCTCTTCTCTGGACACGCTCCAGCAGCTCAATGTCCTTCTTGTAGTGAGGGGCCCGAAAATGAACACAGTATTTGAGATGCAGCCTCACCAGCGCAGAGTACAAAGGGATGATCACTGCCCTGGTCCTGCTGGCCGCGCTGTTTCTGATACAGACTGAGCATTGCTGATTCTACTCAGAAGGTGTCAGTGGGAGAGTATACTGTGCACAGGTACATGCACATTTGAGTACATGTGCTGCTTAAGTGATGTGCCATTGCAGCATCCGTCTGCTTTTTGGTCTTTCTCCAACGATATTTTCTGATTTTAATAAATTAATCATGATTTCCTTAAATTACCCAAAGGTGTTTGTAAATAGTTGCACTGATATTTATTTGTGTATCATCAGCCTTATCCAATAATATGCAAATCATATACAAACATGGACAAGTGCCATAACAAGAAATAGAAATAATCATATTTAACATGGACATGTATTATCATCATATTGGTAACCTCATGAAGTTAGCAAGACTCTTTATGTAGACCTCATTTCACTAGGCTGTTACAGACATTTTGGTGACTGTTCCTTCTAGTATACTGAAAACATGATGTTCCTCATACTTACTAGCTTTGGTTATCACCTTTGGTCCTTGACATTTTAAGTCACACTTGTAGCTGTTCAGGGAAAGTAGCATATAACGCCTAAGTTTAACTGACATTGACACAAGTATTTAGGAGTTCATTTGATGGACTGTGCCCAGGTAGCATTGACCAAGGCAGGAATAGCAGCATCAGAGGAGCAGGAGGCTCCTCTATCACAGGTTTATTTAATGAACCAGGAGGACTTGCAGTGAGCCTGTCAGTATTATCTGGAGTAGGGCCTGTGGCCATTCATTCTCTTGTGTGATTTCCTGCCTCGTTCCTCCATTTCCATTTTGTTTGAGATTGAGACTGCTTTGTTATTGGCTATGAACCTGTGGAAGTGGACTGGAGAGATAAGACTTGGCTAAGGTAATAAGTACAGAGAAAAGTTAGTTTGGAAAAAATGGAATGGAATGGAAATGACAAGGCTATATTGACTGCATGTTGTTGAGTAGCTCAGTAGTTGGTCTGGACAGCTGGCTGCGAAACAGCAGAAATAAACAAAAATCTAGCAGTGCTACATTAATATAGCACTTTTAATTATGTATGTCTTGAAACATAATTCTCTTTTAAGATTTGTCTTCAAATATTGATGTTTTAGTTGAAAAGGTTTAGTTTTTATTTGGAACTGACAGGTGAGCAGCTCTGGTGCTGGCACAATCAGCATGAGGTGCACAGAGGGGATTCCTAAACTGGGGGAACCTCAGGGGTAGCAGAGGGAGCCACCAGGACCCAACAGCTCCCACTGCAGCAGCTGATGGGACCTGGGCAGCGCCAGGAGCAACCATGACAAAGCCCCCCCACACCCCCTATCTCAAAGAAGCCTTTAGGGAGCTCTAGCAACTAGGGTGGGCAAACGGCGTGGCACAGCAGCAAGGGTGTGGCACGACCGTTTGCACAGAATGACATGCAGAAGGTTGCTGAAGCCCTGCCAGCTTGACCAGGGAGCGATGGTATCCACCTGGCAGAAAGCCATGGTGTCTCTAAGCTCTGCACCCACCACGACTGATGCAGCTGCCCAGACAGAGCTCCGGTGGGAACCTGGGTGCCAGCCTGCAGGCTGTGCCCTGCTCTTACACCAGTATGGGATGGCAGCTGTGAGCACAGCGGTGGGAGGTGTGCCCAGGGAGAGGAACTCGCCTGCTTAGTGGCAGAGCTCCGGGAGGAAGTGAGTAGGTTGAGAACCATCAGGAAGTATGAGAGAGAGGGAGATATTGCCGGAATCTCACCCTACCTTCCCTGAGACAGGCACAACAGGCAGATAGGGTGCATGATATGGAGGATTCCCTGTCCTCTCTCCACCCGGCTGAACACAATGACTTAAGGGACAAGGGGCAATAGTGATAAGTTCCTGCCTGGCGCAGCAGGTGCATCTCCTCTGTGACTGCCCCACCTTCCCAAGTGCCCTTGCATCATATGAAGTGCATCTACACCAATGCACGCAGCACGAACAACAAACAGGAGGAGCTGGAAGGCACTGTGCAGAAGGAAAACTATGACATAGTTGCCATCGTGGAAATGTGGTGAGATGACTCACACAACTGGAGTGCTTCAATGGACAGCTATAAACTCTTCAGAAGGGATAGGCAAGGTAGGAGAGGTGGTGGGGTAGCACTGTATGTTAGGGAGTGTTTTGATTGTCTAGAGCTTAATGATGTGACGATAGGGTTGGGTGTTTATGGGCAAGAATCAGGGGAAAGGCCAGCAAGGCAGATATCATGATAGGAATCTGTTACAGACCGCCCAACCAGGGCGAAACTTAATTTCCTGCATTGCTGCTATGTGTAACATCTTCTCCAAACAGCCATCTTCCAGGTAGCTGTTGTGCTTCTTGAAAAAGTTTCTTGAACTCAGTTTGATTGTCTATTGAAAACTTTTATTGCAGTTTTGATCAATTTACCTTTCTAGATTACCTTCCTAAACACAAGTATTTGATCATTATGTTTTTACTATATTATTAAATTCATAACAGGGGATGGATACAATACAATGAAATGTGGAAAGGAAAGTATTTAAAGTTTTCTGTGAAGTATTACTCGGCTTCCATCAAACTTGAGTCCTAATTTTGCTGCCTCCAAATATCTTGGCCCAGAGAGTTTGGCATAGATATTAAGTCTTTGACTCCTGTTACTGAAACTTGCTTTTCTGTACAAAGCACTTTGCTATTTCAGTGTGGTACCCTAATCTTTGTCTGCCACAGTTAGAAGCAGCATCATAGATTTAACCTATTGTTTTTATTGATAGTCATACTTAAGTGTGTTTAAAACTATGCTTTTTAAAGTAAATTTCAAAAGTTCACAGCATATAACCTCAGCTGAATTTTATAATGCAATCAGTAGAATTTTGTAATATCATCACGATGGATTATTGGGAAGATGTATCCTTTTAACGTGGAAAAGAAAGTACATCAAAGAACTACCTTCCCCGTGTGTCAAAACCCTCTTTGACTCACAGTAAACCTACTATTTAAGCTGTTTAAGTTATCTTGGTTTATATTGAGTAATTAGTTTAGGCAAAATGACATTATTTTAGTTGGTGAATTATGGGTCAGCTTGGAGGAAATGAATCTCTACCTTGAGACGGCACTGAGAAGCTGATGGTCAGCTGCAGGCTCTAACCTCTTCAGCTAACACTGTGGGGTCCAAAAAATGACAGATATGTCCAAGGTCTTGGCCTCTTTTTCCCAATGGCAAGTAATCCTTGATGATTGTCTCCCTGCAAAATCACAGATTTTTTGCTACCTCTTTCCTGGAGCAGAAGATTCTCTGATTACTTCTTCCTCCTTTGCTGTGAAAAGCAAAACCTCCTCTTTAGCCCTTTTCCTGTAGTGTTTTCCCGTTTGCATGCCTACTCTTTAGTTCACTTTTATGTAAGCCTGAAAGCTGATAGCATAGTACCAAAGTCTTGTTTACAGATGATGATGAACATGTCCAACCGCAGGGCTTAACAGGGAGAATGTCACTGTAAGAAAAAAGGTTGGATGGTGCCTTCAAACTGCTTATATGTAAATTCATACATTCAACAAAGATTTAAAAGCAGTCCGTATCTTCCTCTTCTTACACAATACTACCTATGTGAAAGCGTTTTCTTGCTTGCATGTTTATGCATATGTATGCTAAATTCCTGATAAGCATGAATAAGCAGAATAGAAGCATCATTGAAAATGGTTTTGGTATGCTAGAGTAAGCCCTACATTTAGTGTCTCATACTCCAAGGGACATTAGGCTGAGTTTTGCAGTTACGCAGACTGGTACTGAAGGATTATACAGTCAGAAAAGTACCTTCCCTGAAGAACTGTTACGCTACATCTAATAACTCACCTTTAATATCCGTTGTCCTTGCTCATCTTCCAAATTTTTTTCACGTCAAGGTTGTTTTGTTTTGGGTTCCACCCCACCCCAAAATATAACTCCATTTGCTTTTCCTGGCCTGGAATGTCATCTTAGCATTTCTTTCCTCAGTGTGACTCTGGTAAAACATTCATAGCTGACAAACCAAACCAGCAAAGTTCACTTTTGACAAAATATATATTTTCCAAGAGAAATCAGTACAATTTAGATGGTTTTTTCATTACATATCCATGTATATAATGGTAGATGGTTTGTTCATTACATATCCATGTATATAATGGACATATATCCACATCCACTTCTAATTGAAGAGGAGCTTTTTGATTGAAAGACAGA